GCTCAGAGCCTGGAGCCTGTTTCAGGTTCTGTGTCTCCCTCTCTCTCTGCTCCTTCCCTGCTCATGCCCTGTCTCTCTCTCTCTCAAAAATAAATAAACGTTAAAAAAAAAAGTTAGGGGGGTCAGAGCTGAGTTTAATCTGGTGCCAACCACCCTCATCGCCACAGCCGTGACACTTCTGGGCGCTCTGCCTTCGGCCCCATGAACGGAACTGAGCTCTGGCCACCGCTGCCTCCACTGCATGCGTTGCGTCCTTGCTGGTCTCGCGGGCATGTGTCCTCGCAGGGCCCTCCCGGGTCCGCATGGTTTTCCCTGGGCAGCTCTCTGTCCTCTGGCTCAGGGCCTCTTCTTCTACTGTCCCAGTCCTCTGGACTCTCAGCTCTGCTCTTCACTGGGGAGTCTGCTGGGTCCCGCCTGGGGGCCCTCCCTCTGGGCTGGGCCCTGAACGGTTGCTCTGGGCCGTGAGCCAGGCAATCAGGGCTGTCCTGCCCATCTCTCTTCTGCCTGGTGGCTAGCGTCTTGGGAACCATAGTCTTGCTTTTCCCGTTACTGTTGTTGTTGCTTGAGGGAAGCAAATTCGGTTCCTGTCACTTGCACATTGGCCGGAATTGGAGGTCCTGCAACTGCTTGCTGAGACACACTCTGTGTTCAGCACGGTTCTGGGCACTGGGGGCCCAGCTGAGACTAGAAGGAGACCCTGCCCTCACCCTCGGGCAGCTGATGTCCTGGTGGGCCAGGCAGGGTGGGGAGTGGGTCCAAGCAGCTCACAGGAGGTCAGAGCCCTGGCTCCCCCTAATAGCAGACAAACACCTAGTGCTAACTATTGTGACTGCCCCTATTTGTTCGTTAGCTTGTTGAATCACCAGAAAGGGGCTTTCCTACCCAGAAAGCCTTTAAAAAGGAACTCCCAGCGGCACCACTTGACGTTGGTTGAATTTTATTTTTAGTTTTTGTGTTGTGAGGCAGAATTTCCTTCAGGGTTTAATGCATTGACTTTTGCATTAGAAAGGTCATGCTTCCCACCTGTAGTGATCTTCCATATCTGCTTCCTTTTTTTTAAATGTTTATTTATTTTTGAGAGAGAGAGAGAGACAGTGCTGGGACAGCCCGTGTGCTGGGACCGTACATACCTGTCCATCACAGGTGGGGCTTGTGGAGACGGGCAGGCGAGCGACCGTGGCAGCGGCAGAATACAAGACTGAAAAGGAACCGTGCCCAACGTGCGGTCTTTCCTCCGGCGACACTTTCCCTGCTTCTGTGTTTTCCACTGTTTCCAATTTTCCTGTGGTAAATGTGCCTTAATTTTATCCTTAGCAAATTAAAGAAAAAAACTAAACTTTCAATGTTCCTATAATTCTAGACAGTGAATGGTAGATGTGTAAAGAACAGGATGATTTTAAGAAAAGAATGAATGTGATTTAAGAAGCAATAAAATGAGCATGTTTCCCTTATATGTCCAAAGAGTTCAAAACAGCTTCTTATCCTTTGTGTTTTGAACATGAGGAAATTAAGTAAAATAATTCTCAGGAGTCTTTAGAACAAAAATTACCATGTATTAAGACTTGCTGTGGGCCAAATGGAGCCAAGAGTCTTACAGCCTCCAGCTCACACAGCCCTCCTGAAGGGCTGGTCTCCTTTTTCAGGCCTCCTGGACGATCAGAGAAGTTAAGCGGCCCGTCCCAGGTTGCACAGCCATCAGGGGCGGAGTCAGGGTCTCCACCTCCTGGAAGGAAGGGGGCACTTCTTCCTCGCTGGCTGACTGACATGTTGCCGTGATTGATCTGCTGGTTCGAGAAGAGTCTGAGGGGATGCTCAGCCTGCTCTGTCTACAAAACTGAGGTTCAGAGAGGACAGTGGCTTTGCCCCCAGCCCTGGTTGCTGAGTCTGCCAGATGCCCCGGCCCCTGTGGTCACTGGTGCAGGGGGAGGCCCTCACACAGGACAGGCCTTGGAGTCCTCTGTGGCGGGTTTGAGAAGCCTGGTTTTACATACTGTCCCTCGGTGGCCTTACTCCCGGACAGCAGAGCTTGTCTGTATTGCGAACAGACCCAGGATGACACAGGCTTGTGGCGGTTCAAAGTGAACTTTTTGTGTACCTGTCCACCTAGCAGTGCCATTTCTCCGGCTCTGTCGTAGGAAATTCATGTACAGGTGTTGCGAGAGAGGTGTTCAGGGACAGTCCTCGTGGCCTCGGCTGCAGGGAGTGGGCGTGGGTCAGCAGGGGAAGACAAAGGCATACGGCCAGCGGCCGGTACAAAGGGCGAGGAAAAATCTACGTGGTGACGTGGGAGGCTCCCCCAGGCCCGCGGTGAGCAGAGGAGATCACAGAGTAATAGGCACAGCACTGCCCGCGCTCTGGCTACATGAGTGTGAGGAAGGGGCGTGGGCAAGGGGGAGCGGGACTTCACTCTGGGTGCTTCCGGACCATGCGAACTTTTTGTAGCAATTGCAGAGCAAGCAGGGATCCATTGCCACATCACCCTCATGATCTCAAAGAACAGGAAAACGCACTGTATGTGTTTTTCATATTTTTCAAGCAGTACCTGACGGCCACCAGCTGGGCTGTGTCTTAGCGCCCTTTCTCTGTTTCTGATTCAGGACAACGTGTTAAACATCATTAACCAGATCATGGACGTGTGCATCCCCCAGGACCGAGCCCCACGGGATTTCTGCGTCAAGTTCCCCGAGGAGATCCGGCATGACAGCCTGGCGGGCCAGCTGTGGTTTGGGGCCGAGGTAGCGGGCAGCCAGCTGGGTCCAGGGTCACGGTGTGGGGCGTTGGGCCGCACCTGTGTGCACCTGCAGGGGCAGGGACCTGGTGTCTCCCTCCCCCTTCAAGAGCCCCACCCGCCGTGGGTTACGGACGGACGGCACGTTCTGATTAGGCTGCACGCCCCTTTGGAGGTGTGGGAAAGCCATGAACCTGCTCCCTCCAGATCTACATAGGCCAATATGGACACGAAGCTTCATGTGCAATTTCTGTGAGGTTCTCAGGCCCCCAGATGTGAAGGGTCTCCAGGTGGTTCTTACCTGCAACAATCCTAAATTAGGAGCAGTGTTTCCCTCGCCCTCTGACAGGAGGGGTCATTCTTGCCCGGGGGGCTGGGAGCTGCGTTCGGGTGCCTCAGTGGAGCCACCACCCCCTCCACCCCTCAGACCTTGACCTTCATCTCCCAGCGAGGAGACTGCAGCCTGAGAGGAGGGTGCCTGACCCGTGGTGGCCGGACCGGCCTCACCCCAGCCAGCTGTTTCCCGTACCCGCACCTTGCCACCCCTCCCTTGGCCGTGCTGGGGTTCTCAGCCTGTCTCTGCCTTCCTCCCAGTGAATCTCGGGAATGCCCTGTCTTCCTCGGGCACGGCCTGGCCCTGTGTGTCCCCCACCTGACCCCTCTCACCCCGTTCGCCCGAGCCGCCTGGTGGGAGGGTGTCCTCGCCAAGGCCCCAGTTGGTGTGGGTGGCCCCAGGCAGGCTAGCCCTGTCTCTGGTCTCAGTTCTCACCGCTGTCGAGTGGGTCCCAGGGGCAGGGAGCTGTGGAGCCATGACATGATGTAGGTCCTGGGCCCCGTGGCACTGGGCGCCGTCTCTGCCATGTGGTCCCGGTGCCAGCCAGCTCCACGCTCCCCTCCAGGGTGGGTGGGAAGTCAGCGACACCACACTCCGCCCCCCGGGAAAGTGCTTGTAGTCCCAGCTCCCCTCTGGGTCACTGCTGACAGGATAAGACGGTGATGGGTGCTGGCCCAAGGTGGGCAGGGGAGTCCCACAGCACCACAGCCCCACGCGGGGATTGCGCGGCCGCCCCTTGGCCAGGACCCGGGTCTGACGAGTACCCCAGGCCACTGGACGAGTGGAAGAAGCTGGGGAGGTGCACGCAGCCCACACAGGCCTGTGACCTGCCTCCCACAGCCCAGGACAGGTGTGGGCAGATTTGCGGGCACGGAGGGACCCTCCTTATCACCCAAAAGCCGGGCGTGCCGCACTGATGAGTCTTGGCTCACAGGAAGGTCTGTGAGCATTTGTGGAAGCGGGGCGTCTTTACTGCCTAGAAAGGGCAGTGGGGTCAGGGAGCCCGGTTGGCCCCGAGTGCCACCCCAACGTGGTGTCAGGGACTCCCGGGCACCCACCCCCAGTCTGTGGGCTGGGCGTGGAGGGGGCAGGAGTCACCTGAGCGGGGCCCCTGCATGGAGCCCCCAGACCCAAGAGCCTCGGTGGGTCGGCCTTCCCTTTCTGCCCACGTCCGGGTCTGTGTGGGGGACCCTATCAGCCACAGGGGGAGTATGTGCTGTCGCGGCCGTGGCTACTCTGGGTTAGGAGAGACCGCTGGCCCCAGAGCGAGGAGACAGTAGGAGGCGAGGGTGCTCCTGGGAGCGGGGCCCAGGGGAGGGGGGTCACAGCCAGGCCCAGCCACCGCTCTTGTGCCTTCCTGTCCCGCATCACGGTCTCCGCGGCTCTGGCACTACAGCCCTCCGTGGCGGCTCTTGAGCTCGGGCTCTGCAGAGCCGGGTGGGGGGAGGAAGGACCCCGGGCCGTCGGGCTCCAGGAGGCTCTGAGTGACCCGCCCCGCGTGCTCTGCCCACAGTGCCTGGCCGCCGGCTCCATCATCATGAACCGCGAGCTGGAGAGCATGGCCATGCGCCCGCTGGCCAAGGAGCTGACGCGCAGCCTGGAGGACGTGCGGGGCGCCCTCCGCGATCAGGCGCTGCGGGACCTCAGCACCTACACGGAGAAGATGAGGGAGGCGCTGAGGCACTTCGACGTCCTGTTTGCTGAGTTCGAGCTGAGGTGACCCTGAGGGGGAGGCCCCAGCCCTGCAGCGCGTCCTGGGTCCCGGTATTCAAGCTGCACACGCCCACTGATGGCGGTTCAGGGCCATCAGTCCACGTAGTTAACCCCGGAGGCCCAACGCGGGGCCGCTGGGGGGTCAGGCTAGGTGACCTTCCCGGGGGTCTGGCCCACCCCCTCTGCCTCTCCCTGATGCACCCCAGCGCTAAAGACCCGGGAGCTTCCTGCAAGTAGCCGTCACCCAGAGTGGACGTGCCGCCCGCCAGAGGCTCTGCTGCTCCCCTCTGCCTCCTGCCTCGCCTCCGCCTCTGACCCACCCCCCACCTCTGACCTCCTGCCTCACTTCCCACCTCTGACCTCTACCCTCTGCTTCCCACCTCGCTTCCTGACTCCGACCTCCCCCCTCTGGCCACCTGCCTCACTTCCTGCCTCTGACCTCTCACCTCTGACCTCCTGCCTCACCTCCCCTGGTGACTGGGCTCACCGTATGGGGCTTGTTGGTCGCCAGCTGCCCCCTGATCCCACCTGTTCACCCACTCACCCCACAAACACCCGAGCATCACTTCCATGCTCTCAGATCTGGGGCACGGCAGAGCAAGGGAGAGGTGGCCATGGCTTCTGGGCCACGGGGACGCTCCAGCTGCCTGGGATGAGGGCGAGGGCACCTCCCCAGGTTAGGGGGGTCTGTGAGGATCACAGGGTGCTCTCTCCCCCATCCCCCAGCACCACCACCTGCCGTGAGCTCCACCTGTCCCTTCCTGCCCGCTGTCCAGCCAGTGCCTCCCTCCCACTCCCCACGGGCTGCCGTCACCTGCTCCTTCCTCAGAGGACACAGGTGGGGCCTGGGGGCCTCCTCGCAGGGCTTTGGAGAAGTGCAGGAGCGGGAGTCAGGCACGCCACCAGCTCCCACAGGCGCGGACACGCTCGCAGTAGGCGAGAAACAGTGGGACCCCAAATCCACACCACGGTGATCCCAGTTAGTAAAAGCCGTCCATCGTGTGACCCGATGACCTCGGGAAGGAAACCAGCCTGGATGTTAAAGGCGGTTCTCTCTAGGAGGTGGGAGCGCGGACAGTTGTTTTCTGTGTCCTCTTCCAGATAAGCTTTTATAACGAGGAAAAGTTAGAGCTACTGACTCAGAAGGAAAGAAACACGTTGTCACCCCGGGGGACATTTGGACAAAGTGTCACTTGCCCGTGAGGCCCCCATGCTCACACCGCCCAGTCCTGGCCGCCCCCACCCCCACCCCCACCCCGTGGTTCACCCACCCACACGCGCGTTCATTCTTGCACTGATTCTCACGCGCTCACCAGGGTGGGTGCCCGGGCAGGGGCGTCGCAGAAGTGGGCGGTCGGGGCCCAGACCGGGCAGGGCCGGGGGCCAGGAGGCACTGGACCAGGCTGACCCTGCTTTAAAATAGACACGGCCCTGCTGGGAGGCGTGCACGTAGGAAGCTGACGTGGCTTTCATTTGAGAGGTGGCGGGGGGACGCGTGGCCGGCGGGCAGCCCTCACTCGCCGGCTGTGTTTGCAGCTACGTCTCTGCCATGGTGCCTGTGAAGTCGCCCAGGGAGTACTACGTGCAGCAGGAGGTCATTGTGCTGTTCTGCGAGACCGTGGAGAGGTGAGGGCCGCCCCCCGCCCCCCCGGCCGGCCGCCACAGGGCCCCTCTCCTCCCCGGAAAGAGGAAAGAGGCCAGCTGGGAGCCCGGGCAAGGCAGGGACGGGGCGCCTGCAGCTGGGGGGGGGGGGGGGGGGGGGAAGGCTCCAGCCCCCTTCTGCTACCAAGTCACCTTCCCCCAGCAAGCAGCCGGCAGACCCAGAGCCTCCTTCCTCAGCTCCTCCGTCACTTTCCTCCGCTCTCCTCCGCGCCCAGAGCACACATCCTGCAGGGAAGTTCCCCCC